ACAGTTCAAAAAAGAGTATTTTCACTGTTCCATTGATAAGGAACTGGAATTCTATTACTCTGTGATGTGTTCATAGCGATTGTATTTCTAATGCTTTTGTTATAAAACATATGCTTCTATATGTCAGTTATATCACACCCATCAGTTCTCTTGCTCACCCACACAAATGCACACAAACACTTATTCCTTTGGTCTTAATAAGCAGCTTTGGACGATTGGCATCAAGGGATGCAATAGAGAGACCTTCCACCATCTGTTAAAAAAAAATACTGCAGCCTCTTTGACATTTTCATTATTATAGTTGCTACAGCCAAGGGTTACTGTAAATTGATGATTTAGCGGGATGTTGCTAATATGCGGCTCAAGATACATTATTCATGAGAGTGAGTCACAGGCCTAATTAGAGGCATGACATAAAAAGATTTTCAGCCCACAATCTGGATTGTTCCTAACATGAAAGATTTGACATGGAAATAAATTTCCACTTAGCAAGACTGACCTTTTACATGCAAAGCATAGGCTGCTAGGATATACATTCCTTTATTGCTGCTTCAGGAAAGCTAGAAAGAAGTGGGGAGAGTCTGTTAATACTAAAAAAAAAAATTAAAAACCCTCCATAGGTTCTACATTTGATACAGTGCTAAAAATATCCTTCAGAATTGTCAAGCATTGCTTTCCCAACCATCTAGCTCAACCCAGTTCCTGTTGACTCCAGTGAAAGCAGTTGATGGATCCATCCGAGACTAAATGCATGTTTATCTCCTTCCGTGTGTGTGTGTGTGTGTGTGTGTGTGTGTGTGTGTGTGTGNCTGATATAATATATTAAAATTAAAACTCTATACATCAGTATATACATAACATACATGATAGATTTTCAAAATTAATTAGAATTTCTGTCAGCAAGAAATTGGAATAATCCACTTAAAAGAGTGATGAATTCCAAGTCAGAGATTTTCACATGTAAACTGCCTGAACACTTGTCACTGTTGCTTTATTGGTTTGCTACAGAAAGCAAGAAGCTGGATTAAATGATTACTAAAGCCTCTTACAGTTTACATAATCCATGATTCTATTATATCTAACTTTATTAACATATTATAAAAGAGAACAAAAAGCATAATGATATTTGATATTGTTTTCCAATGATAGATTTAATTTCCTAGTATCATTTAATGGCTAAGCCTATTTAATACCAACCTAATTTATTCAGATTGTACAAGGTATAAATCTGCAAAAGAACAAAATCTGGTAGGAGACTTAAAACATGTTGCTCTACAAACAAACCTATTTGATTCTAGGACTTGTATAGTAGAGATAATGAATTGGAAATTTTAATTTTTAATTTGATTTAACATCATTAGACTGTTGAAGTTTATCAATACTAAGAGCATACAAGTTTTTCACTTTTGCCTCATAAGAAATAAAATTTCAAGGCTAGATGCCTTTTTAAGGTTGCCTTTCTACTTTGAATTATATCTAGGAATATACTATCTGAGGGCTAATTATCTCAAGCTTCTTCAATAATTTCCATTTTAAAGCTACAGAAGCAGGAAAATATATTAAAGTTAAAGGAAATTATTGTAGTGGGTTGGATTACTTTTTTGTAATTAATTGTAATTTTGTAATTATATCAATATTTGTTTTGTCCTAGTTTTGCCTAATTCTTTATCCCTCTTCCTAAGTATTAGAATAAGTATGTCTGACAAACCCCTTTTGCCTGCTCCTGTTATAGATTCCCAAGGCACAGGAATCTGGAGCAGATTTGTAAAATACATCTCATAATCATGCATATTATGATATGCATGCACGTTATAATATGCATAATCAATGCATGCATATCAACATTTGTAGTCAATGTATAATGGACTATAGAGAAATCTCTGACTTCCTGAACACATTGTGAAATTGCTTTTATTGACATGCTCATGATACTTGCATATCTCACTGATGTTCATAAAGTCAGCCCTTCTACCTAAAAAGGTAACTTCTATTTATTCTCTCAACAACACTTCTAGAGAGAAAAACTATTGAGTATCCATTATAGAAGTGGGAAAGGTAATAGAGAAAAGGGATATATGAAGATAGAGAGATGGCTCTTAGAAGGAGAAAGGATGGGTTTATGTACCTGCTAATGTACAGATCTCTTGAAGAATGTTCTTGAAGCTAATTTGTTCCAGTCATGATCACTGATATCCAATTTTGTGGACATCAGTGAGAAATGCAAGTATCATGAGCATGTCAGTCAAAGGAATTTTACAATGTGTTCAGGAAGTCAGAGATTCAAACAGAGATGCAAATCTGAGACCTCACCCAAGGGGTATGTGAACCTGAGCTTAGAAAAGATCTCCCTTCTCTTCTCTTTTCTTCACATTATCCTGATCATAGTTCTCACTTGATATGTCAGTCAACCTACTATTATATANGGGGGGGGTGTCTCACATCCTGCATGCTCCCCGTGCTGCATTTTTGGTCCTAGGAGGCTTCAGGGAGGCCTGTTAGGCCCAAAATGTGGCACGGGGGGGGGGAGTCAAATGCGCCTGTGCGAGAGCAGGGGAGCGCATGGGAGGGTCGTGCATGTATGCACAGGGGGGAGGTGGCATGGGGGTATTGTATTATGGGTGTGGGCATGAGCGTGTGCACTGTTGCACACATGCACATTCTTTCAGCACACAAGGACAAAAAGGTTAGCCATCACTGCTCTTAAGTGATGAAAAATAGGCAAACAAAAATAAGGGGATTGTTCTGTTTCTATCAGGGTAATATCTGTTTGTTTAAAGAATGCCATTTTTAAACCAGTTTCCACCTTTAAAAAAGTCAATTCCCTTTAAGCATGCAGAAAGGCAATAGTCACAGCAGAATTTAATAGGATGGGGAAGCAAGTTGACATTTTCCTTCAAAAATAAGTACCCAATGTGATTCTAAAGGAATCTTTCTCTCGCTTTTCCTCACCCTTACTTTTGCAATAATTCTGCGAGCTTGATGAGGTCTCACCAAAGCTTCTTTCAGATGAAGATTTATTGTGGGCTTGCTATGGCTCAATCATTTACATTTTATGAGAAGTCCGTGTGCTGATGTCATCCATCGTAAATCTCTCCATGTCCTCAGTGCTATTTCTAACTTTTTTCTTTTTCTGGGAAAAAAAAAGACGTTTCAGAAGAATGTAAGAGCAATGCAGGTGGAAATATCTGAGGAGTGGGTTTTTTTTTTAAGATCTGTGGCTTTGACTTATCCTAGGATTAATTTATCATAACTCAGTGTACATTTTTGTAAACATGGGAGTTATTGACATGCTTATCACTCTTTATTTTATTAATATAAATGTAAATAGTATTAAACCATCACTATATCTTTTATTGTTTACATAAATTGTTCTTTATCACACAAGCACACACAAACCTATATACACACAGAGAAAGATTTTAGCTTGTTGATTAATGCCACCAACCAGGTTTGTCTCAAGTGTACGTGCACATATATGCAGAGAGATTAATAGCAAGAGGGGACATGGACCCATGCATCAAGTAGACAGAAAAATAAAAATACATCTCAGAAAGTAAAATTCAGTAAAAAGGTTAGGTTCAACTTGAGTGAGATTTTACCTTTATTGTAGAATTATTATAAAAACATGCTAAATGAATAAAAACCAAATAAAAACAATAACTTTGAGAGGGACCTTGAAGTCTTAGTGGATGATCACTTAAACATGAGCCAGCAGTGTGTGGCTGCAAACAAAAAAAGCCAATACAATTCTTGGTTGTATAAATAGAGACATAGAATCAAAATCATGTGAAATATTAGTACCACTTTATAAAGATTTAGTAAGACTACACCTGGAATACTGCATCCAGTTTTGGTCACCACATTACAAAAAAGAAGTTGAGACTTTGGAGAAAGTTCAGAGAAGAGCAACTAAGATGATTAAAGGCTTGAAGACAATATATATATATATATATATATANCTGTGAGCCGCCCTGAGTCCCCTCAGGGAAAAGGGCGGCCTACAAATGCTAATAAACCACTAATAAACCACTAATCCATGAAATGTTGAAAGTCATCTGATTGCTATCAAGGGCTATATGCTAAGAACCGTCACTTAAGTTATTAATGAGACTTCCAGGAAAAATATGGAGTATATATACAACTTTTTCATATTGTGCCAAAAGGCACTTGTTTTTAGACAATTTACTTCTACAGATAATATTGTATATTTGAATTAGATCAGGACTTCATAATCTTTATATTGAGCTTAGAATCGGGCTTATATCAGGCTTCATGCAATAAACTGGAAATCTATGTTTAGATTTAGAATCTATGTTCAAATCTACTATTTGATATTATTCGGTTACTGATTTTCCATCAGTAACAGTCCTACTGATACCCATAGAAATTATTTCTGACTAAAAAGAAATTGTTTAGTATTCTAGCATATCCTATCCATTGTTAATTTGTGATATTTATGCGTTTGCAAGTGCTGAAACTGAAAAATCAACATTAAACAATTAAAGGTCCATTTCAGGAACTATTGCTTAAATCATATAAAGTTCCATAATTAAACACTGAATTATTAATGTTTTACTGTTTTACTTATTAAAATCATAGGCCTCAATTACACTAACTTGATCTGAATTGTCCATTGTCTTAGATAACTTTTCTCTGTGTGCTGTAAATGAACTTTAAGTCAAATATTTGCAGTATATTTTACCTATATTGTTTTTTCTTTCAATCATGATTAATACCAATGCACTGCTTTGATGCCAAGATTTATGATGTCTATCTGCTACTATGGTGTGTTCTAGTCACTTATCTGAAATTTTAATCAAGATTGTTTGAGAAATATAAAAGTCAACTATATAAAAATGCAACTAAAACTAATGTAAATTAATAAACAACAGCTAAGTTATATATAAATAATAAGTAATATCACTTTAATTGTGCCAGAGTTCATTTGAGAACAAAAAATAAATAAATGAATAAATAAATAAAATAGTGTGAAGACTTACCAAACATCGGCACTGTTGACAGCTTTGAACCCATGTATCCCCACTATTATATACAATCACTCCACTTTGATGGAAACATTGACTACTCAGTCCTGGATCACATTCGGGGCAGCAAAATAAATCAACAGTGGGATTTTCACAGTCACAGACCATCCGTCGGCACATTACATAGCCAGCCTACCATTGTAAGCGATAGTAAAATGTCACTTACGAAGTAGTGCAGTAGTTTGCAGTACTAAGCATTAAAGTTAAAGACTTTTAAAATCATATGTAATTTATAATAAGGATGATCTAACAACAATATTATTTACAATTGGAAAAAAAATACAGCGATTATCCCCAGGTAATCAGATAAAGCATTGAGTTAGGTAGACCATTCTTCTTCTTCAGAATAATGTCCTAGTTATGCTATAAATTATAATTCTGTTCATGTTAATCAGTGAATATCTGTCATGTAGCACGTCAACCCACTCCCCCCCCATAAACATCTGTTTTCAGTTCTTTCTCATTTCTTACTTTCTCACATTCCCAGAGGATCTCCCAACTCACTTGGCAAGAGCAAACAGAGCATCTATCATTTTCCAACACCCAGATTTGTCCGTTGTGTTTGATCTTCCCTTCATGGATACAGTCTCCTGTGCAGTTCTTTCCATGAGGGCATCGACAGTCATAGCCTCCATCCGAATTAAAACAAATTGTGTCATTGGCACAGCTGTGCCTCCCAGTTCCACATTCATCAATATCTGTAGAAAGAGGCGGAGGCATCAATCACTATCTGCAACTGGCAGAATTCCATACTAATATACAGCAAAAAACTATTTTATAGTTCATTATAAGAGCAATTAAAATACATGAATATATACATGAATACAGTATGTTTCATTTTATCAGAATAAAAATTGTGTGCTAGGAGATTCTGTATTTGTTTAGTACTGTGCAGCAGAAGGCAAGTCAAAGATACAAAATCTTCTATACAATGCAATATCAGGTTAAGTGTTTCAAAGCTGAACAAAAACTGCTATGTATGAGTAAAATCAATGTTCATATTTATTCATTAGAAAGTATCAAAAGTATGTCTAATTTACCATTTTGAATATATTATATACTTCAAAAATATTATCCTACTTTAATTAGAAGCAATATGTGTGTGTGTGTGTGTGTATAAAGCATCTTCAGAACATTGCTACGTATACTTGAAAAAATGCTCTGTTAAAAATAATACATATAGAACTAATTTAGATATCATTTTTGCCTTATAATCAGCTGAAAAATTAGTGAAGACAAATACCTACACACTGACATTTATTCATAAAACACAAATGCATATTTTCTCCAAATGGCTAGTACCCTATGTCAACTCACTAGGAATTAGATTCGAGCAACAAGTGCACATGTAAAAATTATACTGTTCAGAAGACTGGTATGCAGCATTACAAACCACATTGATTAAGTTATTTCAAATTTATATATTAGAGATGTGTAAGTGCAAAATAATTTCCCAGTGTTCCTGTAACAGTATTATTTTTTTCTTTATTATGCTTGCATTATATTGTGTTTTTTACTTTAAATTATAGGTGGGAAAGTATTTTGTATCCTAATTTTAATATTGTCAAGTACTTGGGAATACATTTTATTTGAAAAAATATGAATGCTTTCATGGGTCTCCTTACATCCCTAGACTCCATCCTGTGATGCCAGCAATCTAAATTTGGAATACCAACAGGCATCATAGGGCTGTCTAATTTCTTAGGAAGACTTATCTCCTTATGAATTGATCTTCTGCAACAATACATTCAAACAGCTTTTTCTTTCCAAGGAAAGAGAAATTTCTTTATTCCTGTAAGTTTAATTATGCTTAGATTTTAGACACTTAATAAGTAAAGATTGAATGAAAATTTAAATATTAATCCTACCAAAATTAAAGAGGTTTTCTTACCTCTTCTTGATTTAAATAGTTCATAATAGAATGTGGTGTATTATCTTTTCTGAGAAACATAACACAAAGCTTCTACATAAATGTACCTTGAAGTTTCATTTCAGCACAATATCTTAGAAGTACAAGTACAGGCCCACTATATAATTGCCATTTATCAAATGCCCAATCTTTGTACAGCTAAGTTTACAATACTTCTGTACAGGTTTTTTTTTCTAATTGTAGCATTTCTACAAAATTTAAAAGCAGCATATTATTATTTTACTGGTGGTAAACGTTTTATAGGGTAATAAGAGGTTTCTTTAAAATGTACAGTATATTAAATATGTAAAGCAAAAACAAAAACATAGAATGGAATTGTTTTATTTAGATAACAATAAACATTTCTTCTCCTTTCCTGAAAATCTAGTATTCAATAATAAAGTCTGCCTATAAAATTATGATTATACAGAAATTGCCTGATCATATGCAGGTTGTTCTCAAATTATTACCACAATTGGGGCCCAAATTTCTGTGGCTTAATAAGGTAGTTGTTAAGTGAATCACATCTAATTATATGACCTTTTTGCCCCAGTTGTTAAATGATCACTGCAGTTATTAAGTGAATCATGTGGTTATTGACTTCATTTGTCAGAAACTGGTTGGGAAGCTTGCAGATGAACCCAGATGCTTCAAATGTCAAAAATATATGCCAGTTGTTAAGTGCCCTAATTTGATCACGTGTTCATGGTAATGCTGTGACAGTCATAAGTGTAGAGGCCAGTCATTTTTTCAGTGCTGTTGTAACTTTCTTTGGTTGCTAAATAAATGTTTGTAAATCGAGGGCTACCTGTATCCCTTATCCTCATTTCCTGAGCAAACCCATACAGTTAATCATGTAGTCAAGCTGGTAGGCATGTTGAAAGTGGAAGATTGTATGATCCTTCCATTGCTCTAATATAGTAATCTCCTAATAAATACAGAGTAATTCTGTAGCATCTAAACAGAACTTGTAAGTGAGTGCATACAAAGCCATTTTGCCCAGTTAATTCACTAATTGTATACGAGGTACTAGATTTATAGAGATTTTATGCAAGTATTACAAAGCCATAAAGATATTCTGGAAAAGTTGGAGATGGCGCAGACCAGAGGAAACTCCAATCTCTTTTTGTTTTTGCTCAGCACACTTTTAGAATAATATCCCAACATTCAAATGAGGCATTGTAAGAAAGTATTATGATCTGCCGCAATGCTACTTATAAAGCTGTGGGGCAATTATAAAATAGAAAAGAGCAAAATGTATCTTTAAAACATTGGCTGTTTTTTCAAAATGAGGCCACTTGCAGTTTTTACAATATCTTCCTTCTCATTCATTTTCCCAAACAACTGCCAAAAGTCTACCCAATTTCATGGAATACGAATGTGCATGTGGGCATCAAGTGGCATTTCCAGTTATTTATCTGATGAAGGCATTCTGGTTATTCCATTTTGTTCAACATCCATAATATCAAAGGAATATCTGTAATGTGCACAAAGTAGCTTAACCAAGCTTTGCCTTGGTTTGTGTTATGAATAAATATGTCACAAAATTTATGATTCTCACTGTTTTACTCTATATCTATTTGTATTTTCAAAGGCATTAGGAAAGGGGTCCCCAACCCCCAGGTCATGGGCCACTACCAGGCCTTGAGTCATTCAGAACCAGCCCATGGAAGTGGCGAGCAATCACATGCGTATGCACATTTTCATTTGTGCAAGCCCAACACTTCTGCAAATGGAGCTGCACATGCATGGACTCTTTGCCACTACTTGTATGGAACCATCTCCTCTGCCACTCCCCACCTTCTAGTCCACAAAGGCGAGAAGCTTGGGGAACTCTGCATTAGGAAATGTTCTTAAATAATGTGATATTTCTCCCACAAAACCTCCCGAAAAATTCCTTATATGAATTTTCTACTTAGTTTAAGATTAAAATTGAATTGAGGTCATTTATTCTTTCCATGCCATCCCACATTTCAAGAAGGCTCTTAGTTTTCCCAAAATAGTTTAGGGAGAGCAGGTGTTTCAGAAAGAACAAAGAAATAGAAAGCTCTTTCAGGGGTACATGGAAAGAGGTGAAGGATGAATCCCATGGCAAAGTATTTTATGTGCATTGATATGGCATTTATTTTTTCTGAAGTAAATTACAATGGGTCAGATAATGCTCAGTTCCAGATAACCCTAGTTTTGTGGGGATATAAGTTACAATAAAGATAATATTTGTTTGCCCTTTATGAGATCTCTGGGCTCAACACAATGAATTCTTAGCCTAAATCAAGACAATTAATATCACTCAAACACAATTTCATAGGAATACCAAATGAAGTATGATGCCATTCATACCTTCACATGATTCTCCACTAGATGAAAACATGCCATTATCGTGGTAACCATCCCTGCACTCACAGTGGTACCATCCAGGTAGGTTAATACAGGTGGCACGGCTGTCACACTGAACAAAGCCATCTGAACATTCATCAATATCTGCTCAATAAATATAAAACAACATAAACCATGGTATCAGTACACAGAAATGGCTGTTGTTTGTGGACACATCAAAAATATTTATATTCTATACACTGAGATACAATATACTAAAAAGGAACTGAAGTGTAATAAGCATTATCTTTTTACAAAGATGCAAGAAATAAATGTGAATCGTGAACAAAATAACGCCATTAAAATACTCAGTATTGTTGAAACATTTCTAATTAATTCAATGAAGATAAATGAGAAGCATATTTTGTGTGTTACTGCCCCTGGCAAGCAGAAAAAGTCATTCCATCTGGAAGTTTATTTCCATTATCCCTAAGGTGACCAGATTTTAACATTGGTAAAGAGGGACACCATTGACCCGGGAGGGGGGGGGGNCGGGTGAACAGGAGATTGATTGATAGGTTCTTTCCGCTCTCTAACATGCTTTCAGTAGAACACAGTACATATTTGGGTTCCCCCCGCCCCTCCCCACTAGGCAGAAGCTGAATTAGCCCTGTTCTCCACCGAGAAAAGCTTAGCTTGTTGATCGGCCGGCAGCGACTTAAAAGCATAAGGCCGGGGGGGGGGGCATTCGCCTCATCCCACGGGCCGAAGCGCGTGCGAACCTGCCTTCTTACTCCACCCTTCGGAAAGGGTCGGGTGCGTTACCTCCGGGACTGGCAGAGGGCGGAACAGAAGGGGGCAGAGTTTCCCCGCCTCCCTCCCGCCATTACAGCGACAAGGGAGTACAAAAAGAGCGAGCGAGCGCCTGCGCAGCGGTGCCGCCCCCTTGCCCCGCACTTGAGTGAGCGCGGGGGAATCGGGCCGAGGCGGGGAAGCGGCCTCACGGGCGAGTGGTCGGCTGCGGCCGCTTTCCTCGTTCTCCTGTTTGCGGAAAGGGAGAAGGCGGAAGGATGGCGGAAACTGTGGGGTTGAGTTCTAAAGCCGCAGCTTCAGCGGCGCCGTCATTCCGCGCCACGGTTATAGCTGCTGGAGCCTTTCCCCCCACTGCTTCTAAGATCCCGCAGAGGTGGAAGCACCTTCGCAGCCCCGGGGCCGCTAGCTGAACTACCGCTTCCTGGTGCTTCTTTGCCGTGGACATTTCGTTCTCTACTCCGTCTCGCCGGCGGATCCCACTGAAAGGAGCCGCGGTAGAAGAAGGAAGAAAGAGAAGGTGGTAGCGGAGGAAAAACCATGGGCGCTAAGCAGAGCGGCCCGGCGGCCACCAATGGCCGAACCCGGGCTTATTCCGGGGGAGACTTGCCATCGGGCAGCGGCGGCGTTAACGGGACGGGCGGGCGGCCGGTAGGCGGAGCGATGAGATACACACACCTGGTGCCTGGCGCGCACCACGCGGCCTCCGGCTCCTCTATGAATAGTGGGGCAGCGACGGCGGCGGCTCCCCCTTTGGTAGCCTCCAGGAGTAGGTCTCTGGGCGGGCCAACCGCCTCCGGGACTCGAACGGCTCACACTGCCTTCAACATCCCCAATAGCAGCGGCCTCTATGGCTCTCAAGACTCGGTCAGCAGCACTCCCGAGGAAGGGGGACGGGCACGAGCCACGGCTAGTGGAGGGGCAGAAGGACCCGGCGAGAGAAGCGGCGGACCACGGCTAGTTATCGGCTCGCTGCCCGCGCACCTTTCGCCTCATCTTTTTGGAGGTAAGGATTCCTGCCCGTGAACAGGGGCTGTGGGAGTGGAGGATTATAGTGGTCGGGGTTCATTAGAAAAATGTAGGAAGAAGGAAAGGGGGAATTTTTCATTGTTAATTCTCCAAATGTTGGGTGGGTAAAATCTTTATAGCGGATTAATAGATTTAGGATGGGACCAGACTCTTGAAAAGTTTGATCTTTAGGACTCCCAATCTAGTGGAAAAGCGATATTCCACGTGAGAGATAACAGCCAAGTTTTCCTTGTGGACAGTAGAATTCTAATACTATTGGTTAAGCCACGCTGTTTAACAAAGCTAAACTGCACTGTGTTCAGAAGATTAAGTATCTGTTTAAGTACTGAATAGTTCCATGGTTTATACTGTATGCAAATCTGTTCAAAGTAAGAGTGTACTCAAACGGGAGTTACTCCCAAATAGGTTCACCTGAACCCACGCAGACTTGTAGTTACATTATTAAAGCTAGTAGCCTTTATATATGCAATTTAGAGTTGGCTGGATTACCATTGCATATGCTACAATGGACCACTTCCTAAGTTGTTCATTATAATACCTGATAGAAACTAATTACACTATTGGGATGTAAATGTTCAACAAGTGCTAAGGAGTCCTATTTATTTGTAAACTTTTTTTTTCTTAAGATGGCAAAGCCCGGATTTTAATTGCTAATATATTAAGAATATTGAAACATTGGGGTGTGTGTGTGTGTGTAGGACATTAATTTATGGATCAAAAATCACACAGGATGCAATATTAATGATGATATAACTTGATTTACTCGTATTTTTTATTTTGTTCTTCAGGAAAGAATTACTAAAAATATTCCAGTATTTTTTATTTTGTTCTTCAGGAAAGAATTACTAAAAATATTCCAGATTGAGGGATTTGAATTAGTTTTTTAAACTTTTATTTTAAAAGAGGAATTCAAAAGAAGTCAAATCTGTAGTACCTCAATTACTATAAGTGTCTGCCCTAATAATTTTTGGTTTATGAAATATCTTACCTGATAACTTAAAGAATTACTAAAATGCTTTAATTATTAAGTGAATAATATTTTTTGTCTAAGCATGCATTTTAAATCTGAAAAGATTATTTAAAAACATCAAAACATAACATAAAACCTGGAATGTGGTTAATGAATTTTCATTCTGATTTTTAACTCAAGTGTTACATTAATTTTATTAGTGTAAAATAAAAGCAATAAGCAAATGCATTCAGATGACATAAGAACAACCACAGTAGTGTACAAAGTATAGAACCGTAATGGCAAACCTATGTCAGAGGTGGCACACAGAGTGTGCTGTCACCAGCTGCTCTTCTGGGTTCCGGCGTGTGCACTCCACATTTTAAAAATGAAATAGAATTTGCAATATTGATTTGGAATTCTTATTATGGAAAAATATTAAATTTTGTAATAATTTTATTTTAAATATTTTTTAGCTTTTCTGGGGGTTTCTATTGATCTTAATAGTGATTGCTTATATGAAGTCTTTGGCTGAATTGAGTACAATAGTCTAATCTGTGATCTGACCTATGATCATAGCTACAATCTAGGAAAAAGATTGGGTGAGATGCTTCCTCATATTTTTTCTAGCAAGGTGGTGAGATGAAATGAATAAAGTCTTTCTGTGAAAGTTTGGGAAAAATACTTTATTGAATGAACACTGCAATTGCATTTCAGGAAATATCTTGAATCCACTTAGGTCAGTGGGCCCCATTCTTTATGACTTGGTGGCCTGGTAGGAAGGGGAAGAGGGGACCAGCCCAGTCAGCACATGTACATGTGTGTACGCTGGTCCACCACTTGGATTAGTTTAGCTGTGTGCATGCGCCCCAGCCCATTCCTTGTGCAGCCCAGTTCTGAACAGGCCATAGTTCAGTAGTGGGCAGTGACTCAGGTGTTGGGAACCCTTGATTTAGGTCGCAATGTACTGCTATTACCAAGTCAGCATGCGCTTAAATTTTTAAAAATAAAATATCTAGTATAGTGATTGGTTATTCCTAATATAATAGTATTACACAATATCTGGACTGAAAATCTATTTTTTTCTGCATTTACTATGTATTGCCTAATGTTTGGGTTTACACATTGTATTAAGCAATAAAGTATTTAACTTGATTCTGAGTTAATATGTTGTGCAAATTTGGATTACAAATAATGCTTTCTTGTATGAATTGAGCCAGCTGTGGTTTAATAACAGTTAAACCATGGCTTAGAATAATATATAAACTTAGCTAATATTTTTCTCCACTATTGTTTATTAGAAGCAAAACTTCCTAAAGATTGGTTATTTCAATAATTATTGTATTGGTGCCTATAATCTTTCTAGATTTAAGTAATCAAAATGTTAGATTTGAGACTGTTGCCTTCTTTTTATACATTTAAATTTTTATGTGAGAAGCTCTACATTTATAGCACTACTTTGAACTAAAGTTGGAAGTCTTTAAAATGCTTCAATGTACACAATGGAAGCTCAATATTGCAAATTATAAATATATATATGTACATTAGCCAAGGGGAGTGGGAGTTAAAGACACTGAGCTTGCCAGCTGGAAAGCTGACAGCCCAGATTTGTGACCGGATGCTGCATGAAGGGGTGAGCTTTGGTTACTTGCTCAGTTCCTACCCACCTAGCAGTTCGAAAGCACGCAAATGCGAGTAAATAAATAGGTACCACTTTGGTGGGAAGGTAACATCTAGCATATGGCCACAGAAATCTCTTCAAACATTTAGCTCCCTTGGCTTAGAAATGGAAACAGAGATGAACACTACCCCTAGAGTCAGACATAACTGGAAATGGAAAACCTTTATATTAGCCATAAGCCAAATGCTGCGTGAAAATTCTCATGTACAAATTTCATGCCATCTATAGTAATCAAAATTAATAAAATGCTTTTGTTCTGAGAAATATGCTATTTTTATGGAGATTATACTGACTTCCATCTTTTCCCCTTTTTTTATAAAGTTTTTTTATTGAACACAAAACATTGGACATAGTGTAACTGTCCTGCAAAGTCTTTGCCATACATACTAAGGTATAAAGTTATACATTATAATCACCATGCTTATTTACATTTGGTCTATTCAGTATTTACAAATATAAAAATATCATAATTCCAAACATGTTGCTTTGTTTTTATCTTCTACATTTTCACTGTTATAGTTTCATACATAATTCTAATCTCCATTCTACAAATCTTAGTCATTGTGTATTTTGGGTTTTTCCTTTTTTGTTCCAATCATTGATAAAATTTGTCCCATATCTTATAATANGGCCAAAAGCAAATAAAGCAAATAAAATATAAAATGCTGGTTTACCTTTCTCTGCTGCTTCTCTCCC